GTAACAATACCACAGAGTAGAAGTAACAATACCACAGAGTAGAAGTACACTGTTACAAGTAGAAGTCCTGCATTCAGAGTAAAATTACAGAAGTACTAAAAGTATTCATGATGCAGAATGGTATTTTATATATTTGTATTGCACAACTCTTCACTTTAAAGAGACACTTTAATAACAGACGCATTTTAACCCTCATATCGTTTGTTTATTGTCATGCACCGATCACAAAGCCTGATTATTTGTGTCCATATTTATTTACTTCTGCATAAACACTTAAACCGTACATTCCTGCTTTTTGCACTTCTGGTTAGATGGTTAGTTTTTATCAGAAATGGAAACTAATCTAATCTTATTGTATTCTGATTATTAATGCACTGATGTTCAGGCATCATGTTGATGTTGCAGCTGGTAAAGTTGAGGCTAATTTAATAATAATAATAATAATTTAACTAGTTTATGTACTGCTGAGAAACCTAATCTCCAAAAATGCATCCTAATTCATTTTTTAAGTCATATTTTGAATTAATAATCTGAAACTATTTCCTCTGAAATGTATCAGAGGAAAAGTACGAGCACCTCTAACTTGTTTTTAAGTACAGAAGTTGAGTGAATGTTCTTTCCACCACTGGACTGAGGACTGAGGTATTTTGGAAGCGCAGTCAGGAGGGAGTTCCAGAAGTCCAGAGCAGAGATGAGTAAAGCTTGTACGAGGAGCCGCTCTGAGCCTCCAGACAATCTGCAAAATCTGCAGGATCACTCAACACGAGTGGAGCTGGAGGGCCGAGAGGCTTCACGCAGACTGAGAGTCACAACAACAGCGTCGCCCTGAATGCTGGAGGAGAGCAGCTGCAGGTGGAGGAGGTCCTGTTCAACACTCGTGCTTCACTCGGGACATTTTGGGCTTTTTACATTTTTCTACCTTTTGGTTTGTGTTCATGCTTTTGGCATAACGTTTGTCAAGGGTGTGAGTTTTGATTTGATTTTGGAAGTTCAACCAAATAAGAGCCTAAAAGCATCAATAGCAAAATTTCAGGGGTCTCAAAGATTGTAAGATGATTATTTATCATTTGCAATTGTCACTAAAATGTCTTTTAAAGGATCACTAACGCACAGTTTTCATCATTTAAACTGCAAAACATGTATTCACTAATATGACCAATGAGTGCGAGAGATGATGTCACAGCCAGACAGAGACATCAGCTCTTATAATAAGTCTATAAATAAACTGTGTAGTTAAATTATAGATACTCAGACCTTTAAGGGCAACGATGTCCTCAAACCATGCATTCTATTATATCAGGCTTTCAATATCTACAGCCTCTGGCTTCAAAATGTCCTTTTCTTTACAGTTTGACATCAGATTGAGCCATTTTCTCATTATTGCGATATGTGACAAGCACATGCTATGTTCCTGGTTTCCACTAGGGGCAGCGCTGCTGTATCATGGAGCCACTTTGTGTCATTTGTTCATGAAGAACAACATTGGCATTAAACGAAAATGACAAAAATGGTCCAAAATGTCGTCACTTCATCATTTTATCCTTTTAAACATTTGTTTCAAACATTCATAGTTAGCACATGAATTATTGTGTTATGGCCAAAAACTCAAAAAGACCTTTGACCACCAGAATCCTAATCATTTCAACCTCGAGTCCAGCTGGACGTTTGTGCCCAATTCCTGGCGTTACTGTGATTTCACGCTCACGAGAATGGATCGGACGGACAGATAATGTCGCTGGCTCTGAGGCATGAACATAAAAAAACGAATTAATATTTAGTAGTTATAATCAGGACTAATCAGGACTCTTGACGGGGACGTTTTTGTCCTCTGAGGACATCAGAGCAGATTGGTTAAAGTTATGCAAGTTATTTTTCTGAACTTTAAAGTTCATTTGCTGAATGTGGAGCTGGATGAAGACACACATAATGAAGTAAAAGCCAGGAAAACGTCCCCTCAGGGTATGGAAAGAACCCAATATTAGAGACAATTCATCAAAGCAACAAACAGGACTGAACATATCTCAGGATCTCTTCCTTTGTTTCCAACAGGATTCCCACATGCTGCAGAGATTTAAACGCTCGACAGGTAGAGTGTCAGAAGTTCACATGAATCATTCCGAACATGAAGAATGTGCTGCGGTTTCCCAACATTTCACGCCCTGTCAGGCATTTAAAAGACATAATAAAGACTAATTGTGTGGGCAAGTTATGTAAAGTGCTGCTAACTGCAGGAGAGAAAAAGACTCTTACCACTAAGACAAGAATCATGGGACCTTGGTAGATGTAGTCGGTGTAAACGCCAGCTCGCTTCCCAAACCAGCACCTGCAGCCAAACAGAAGTCATCGTTACTTCTTACGTTCAGATGTAATCGGCATTTGTTGTAGTTACATCATATCAATTTGTGCTCAGATGTTAAAAACATGTGTTTTCCAGTCAGTAATTCACCCAAAATATGAAATATAGAAGATTGTTTTGATCAAAACTGAGTTCTAAAAAACATATTGTCCTAAAACAAATGCAATCCGTCACTTCTGTGAGACTGTTTCAAATATAAATGATCCTGTTTTAATAATTATGCACTGGAAAGCTGCAAAAAGAAGAAAGTTTATTGTAGATACTACTTGGTGAAATGTGAAATAAGCTTATATATAACATGATTTATTCACTTGGAAGTAATAAAAAGAGATTACGGCTGATGTTCTGTATTTCTTCCATATTTTCAACAAATTCCATGAAAAGACCAAAACCCGTCTCTCAACACGTTCTGACGTCACGGCTCGTCGTTGACGCTCACCCCCGAGCTCATCGGCTCCCGACGACAAACATCGTTAAAAATGGGTCACAAACGTCTAGTTTGAATAAAACATAAAGAGGTTTCCTAATTTCCTAAAACGGCTGCTCGCTGTAGGTTTTATTCAAACGAACAAGAGGAAATAGAGCATCTGTTGGGGACTATTTTCAGTGTGTGCGTTCATGGTGATGTAGGAACAATTGGGCCTGTTGTTGTGTTTTTAATGGAGCTCTTCGGCTCGGAGGAAGAGGAGACATCGGGCTTTGACCCTTTACTTACAGTAGATGGAGTTTGGAGAAACAGAACCAGCACAGCAGCAAAGCAATGTGCTGCTGTGGGCGTATTTTAGACACCTAAAAGAATCAATAACAGTTTAAATGAACTCTATATTTAGATTATTTTCTCCTCTTTACCTGACAGCCTCTCTACAAAGATACCAGACTGCATTGATTAAAGCAGTTCATTCTACCTCTCAGAACACAGGAGCTGCTGTTCTACTTCTGCCTCCATCGGGTTAGTTTGTTTGTGTTGTTGTGTGACTTTGGTGTTTTAAAGGGTCAGTTCAGATTCATCAAAGTCAGACAATAATAGTAACAAACTAACATGAATGATGAAGGCAGCAGTACACCAGTAACTCCTGTGTCCTGAGGGGTTCAATTACTGTGAGGGTCAAAGGAGTCTGGTGGTTTCTGAAGAGAACAGAGAGGTCTGACACCAAGGTAAAGAGGTGAAAATACTCTAAATATAGCGAACACTTAACCAGATACTTCCTAAAATATGTCCAGTGCTCCTGTGGTTGTACTCCGGTCTGCTTCTCCGTCTACTGTATTATTACACCATGGAGAAGAATCTCATACAACCTCATTCCAAGGACTTAAACGCGATGTTTTTCAGTGCACATTTATATAATGCTGAATCCATTATCTCCTGTCTACGAGCTGAAGAAAGAGACCACTTTATATCAATCAAACGCTAAGCACTCCCTCTCTAAGGGAGAATGCCCAGCGGGGTAACCTGTCATTTAGAATATTGTACAATGCAAATGTGATTACCGGAGGTTATTTATAGACATTCATCTCCTTAATGCAATCCAGTTTAACTGTTCCCTTGTGTGGTTTTGTTCAGTTTCTCTGAAATACTTACTTCTCATTGTCGTAGTACAGCTTCCCAATCGCCCATGCCACAATAATAGGGAATGGTATACCTGTGAGGCAAAACAAAAAGACAAATGGCAGATTATTCTTTCATCTTTTCCTGCTTTTCACATCGCGACATATCCCTGCGGGATTTCACGCTGCGACACGGAGTCCTTGTCTGCCAAAGCTCTGTCAAAACCTATTGTTGCTTGTGTGCTGTGATCCGCAGATTCCAGCCACGACGTGTCACCCTCTGAACGTTTTCTCTGGGAATGAATGAAAAGGCTGGACTCTGGTTGACGGTAATGCAGAGCGATCGTCTTAATTTACTGACTTATATGAGTAAGGATGAAGCAGACAAGAAGACGTGACTTGACCACGAAGACCTTGCCAAACATCTCTGGTAATTTTCCACTTCATCAGCAACATACTGTCATCAGCGTAACGTTAAACCTTCAGGAAAATCTTACTCTCACAAGAACTAGGATTACTTGGAAAAAATGTAATTTGTCTTGTTGTTTTTGCATCTCCTGTCCATTCCCCTCCGCTTTAAGAATACGTCTGCTCCTGAAGCCTGAGCTAAAGTCAAGCGAAGGAAATCAAATTTGATCTTATTTATGTTTTCAAAATGTGCTGCCATCTTCCCCCCTCACACGGAGGCTTCACGCTGCCCTGCGGGTAAATGTAATCCAGATGGCACAATGCACCTAATCTCAGCAGCACATAGTTCAGTTTGACAGTGTGAAGCGGGGTGTTAGTGAACTCCACACCAATACGTTTCCCAGCTGCCACACCGAATCCTGGGATCTCCGTCAAGTCGACTGCTTCACATTGTTGGATGAGTTTCGGTCTGAGCTGCAGCTTCTTTTCTTTTTCTATTGAAATTGAATTCACCCAAACTGACTGGAGTTAAAACGAAAAGTTCCAACGTTTTAAGGAAAACAATTCTTGCATTCTTGCTGAGCGTTTGATGAGAAAATTGATATCGGTCTCATGTTTGTTATGCTATGTACTGAGCTAGAGCCAGAGGGGTCTACGTAGCTTAGCATAAGGACTGGAAGTAGCTAACCTGGCACATCACTCCGCCATAAAAACAATACTTTGTCCCTTGTACTTTTGTGTTTGTGTACAGATTAAACAAATAAAATATGTGTTACAGGCTAGCTGTTTCCCCCTGCTTCCAGTCTTTATGCTAAGCTAATCTAGCCGCCCCCTAGCTCTAGCTTCATACTAACAGACATGAGAGTGGTATTAATATTCTCATCAATTCAAATGCTCCAAATGTAGGCTACGAGATTATGATGATAAAAGTGATACCACTCTCATGTCTGCATTCTATGTACTGAGCTAGAGCCAGGAGTATGTTASCTTAGCTTAGCATAAAGAATGGAAGCAGGGGGAAACAGCTAGACTAGCACGTAACTTTCCATTTGTCCCTTTTATATTTTTGTAACAGCATACAATATTTAAATTGATGAGCTTTAGAGCTGTTGGTAGATGATTTGAACTTTGGATGGAACGAGGCTAGCTGTTTCCCCTGAATCCAGTCTTAATGCTAAGCTAAGCTAACAGACTCCTGGCTTTTTTCCCTTTTACATTTGTGTTTGTGAACGGCTTAAACAAATAAAATATCTGTTAATTATTGATCTTTATAGGAGTTGGTAGGTGTATTTTTTTACTTTGAAGAATGCAAAGTTTTGCCCATATTTCCAGTCTTTATGCTAAGCTAAGCTAACTCTTCCTCGCTCTACCTCATACTTAATACACAGACATGGGTGTGGCATCAATCTTCTTGTTTAACTCTCAGTAAATAAGTGTTTTTTTCCCAGAATGCCTCACTATTCTAAGGTTTTCATACAGCTGTACTACCGACATTCATTGTTTAGCAGTAGGTGTACTCACACCAGCCGATGCAGATGAACATCCACTTGCGCAGCTTGTCGGTGGAGTAGGTGAGGACGATGGCCGTGTGGAGGTAGCAGCCCTCGCCAAACATCCAGAAGAAGTTGGTGGAGTGGAAATAGTTGTAGGAGGCGGTGACGAGGCGGCACCAAACCTGCAAAAATTAATCCTTCTGTTAAACATTTAACAGATTGTCAAAAATATTATACATCATCTTACTGTCAAACATGTTTTAAAGCATACCACATGTTCTTTAAGTTACATTATCATCATTTCATCAGGGCGTTGGTGTGTCAAAGGAAGCTCCATTTGAGTTGGTTTTTACTGTAATGCAATAAACATGCTCTCTTCCATGTTTGCCAGTCGTTTGTCAAACAAACTTTATTTCCCAACAACATACGAGCGATAACTTAAAGGAAGTGAACACATCTGGTAGATTTAGGATCCGTCCAATCGAGTTAACAGACTTAGAAAATTCAAACTGGTGGCTGGTGGCAACCCAACATCTCACTAAACAAACATCATGGCACCTTTTATAATTCAACACCTTATTATCTGAAGCTCATGATGTTCAGCTGTCTCTTGAAGACACCAACGAGGAACAATCCTTCGAACTCTCTGACAAACTAGTTACAATGAGAATACATTTTGTGGAAAGAGGAACAGTTCTTTCATTAAATGATGATAATTTTAGCACAAAGTTGGAGGTTTCATGAACTATTTAAAGGATAAGGCCGCTGACATTCTATATTTTATTATTGCCATTAAATCTCGTGAAAAGAACAACAATGAGTTTTAGTTTTATTTATTTTTTTAAAAGCTCAGCAGTTTCCTAAAACAGCTGGTCACTGTAGTTTTTATGCATTTGTTTGGGACTATTTCCTGCGGTGGATTAATCCACACTCTAGTGAGTATTTAACCTAAAACAAAAGTTTCTTAAGTGCTTCTTGTTGCATCAAGATCTTTGTTTTTAACAACCATTAAGAAGTCATTGGAGATGAAAAAAAACAATGCTCATTCAATATTTACACAAACAAAATGAAGCAAGTAAAAGCTAAATCTGACTCTAAGACATGAAATATCAGAAGTTAATATTTAGGGTTGAAAATAAACAAATGAAATAAAAGATGATCAGATAAAGCGACACGTACCACGTTACTTTCGTGCACCTCAGGGCTCATGGTCATTTGGACGATGAACCAGGTGGCGTTCCTCAGGATGAAGGCGGTGATGAGGTTCCAGTGGATGATGTTTCTCAGGCAGCGGATGCTCCTGCGAGACGAACAGAGGGGAATAATCTCTATAATCTCAGGTGTTGAAGAAGGTAATTATCTTATCTTAGTTTAGCATAAAGACCGGAGGTAACATATGTTTCTGTTTCTGTTCAGATTAAACCAGCTAAATATAATACGTTAATTCTTGAGCTCAAGCTTCATACTCACAGACACACTGGTGGGAAATCCCTGAATTAATGTCCTCGTGTATTTTAAACAAACTCACATTGAAATGTACCCAAACTGACTGGAGTTCAATGAATTATTCAACATTTTTGGGAAATATAATTATTTAATGAGAATAATTGATACCGCTCTCATGTCTGTGTCACAACAATTCAGCCAGAGCCAGAAGGTGATTAGCTTAGCTTAGCATAAATACTGGAAGCAGCTAGCCTGGCACATAAAACCACATTTTGCCTCTTTTACACATCCGTTCATGTGCTGATTAAACCAACATAGTACGTTTATTAATGAGCTTTAGAGGTGTTGGTAGATGTATCTTTAAACTTTGGACAAAGCCAGGCTATGCTAAGCTAAGCTAAGCGTCTCCTGACTCTCGCTTCATACTCATGAATTAAACATCTCGTCCTACTTAGTTTGAGTCTTCTAGTGTAATTTAAACAAAGACATGAAGCTCAGAGAGGTTAACTCTTCCTCCACTATGATAAAACCCTTTAAGTAATCTCGTAAGAAACAGCAAACGGAGATGATGAATATGAATAATGAAGAGAAGTAGCCTCAAAGTAACATTTCCCATCACTCCCCTAACTTAACATGAAGTAACATTTCATGCCCACTTTTTGCACTCTTGTTTGTATCATGCCCCGAACATCTGATGTTTTAATGCTGCAAATAAATCGACCTCAGGATACAATTAAGAGATCTGCCTCTGAGTGAGCATTCGTATTACAAAGGCAGTGAATGTCGTGCCAGAAGCATTTGTTTTTTAAACAGTCGTATTCATTACGCCGCGTGACCTCACTTCCTTTGGCATCCTGCCGGTGGCTTAGCTCGGCCTGATGGGTATTAATTAAGAGGAAACACTCCTGCAGACTGAGCTTTGTCAAAGACTAAATAAAATAAAACACATTTGTCCTTATCCAGTGTCTCTGCGTTTCGTGTTCTGATGTTATTTCTTATATCACCAAATAATAATACCATATTTCTGCTATATTGTTACTTTCTACATTATATTATATGCTATATCGTTATTGTAATGTCTATATAGTATAATTATCTCCACCAGAAGGATCATGCGATGCGTCGTATGTGTGCATTGCGCCCGTGAGTGAGTGAGTGTGCACCTCTGTGTCCGTCCACGGCTAATCTCTCAATCTGCTGCAGCAGACTGCAGAATATTTTGGGTGGCTGCATGCCCAAGGACCTCTCGAGGTTGCGGTGACTCAGGCTTTCTCTAAAAAAACCCTTTTATTACTTGTTTTATACTGCCACTGACGTTGCCTGCTGACTCGTCACCGTTTGCTCACCTTTTTATTGTTTTCGACGGTGCGTTTGGCTAACCGCTAACAGCTAACAAGACTAGCAGTACACACACGCTGCTGAGTACCTCGCAACTTGTGTGTCAGACACACCTGGCTTTTTTTTGTTTGTAATTTAAAATGTATTTATTTAGACAAACTAGTTCTTTATCGGTTTTCTGCCGAAATGTATGAAATTTCTGCTCAGGTGTCAATAAAATCTTATCTTTCATAAGTTATATTTTGAATGTAGGCACGTTGAAAAGGCATGTTGTCCTCTCCCTTTAAAGCACTCTGCACTCCCCGCTCTCATCATATAAAACTGTTCATTAGCTGGAGTGCGTCAGCCGCTGCAGCGACATCACGGGTCAGAGGTGTGAGTTTGAATATCCCTTGTTTACATTTCTAATAGAGGGCGGCTGAGGTCTGATGTATTAACGTCTTCCTCTTCCTGATCTAAGACAGAGGTGGAGGTGAAGGAGCGGCTCGCCCTCAGTGAATCACATCCCTGAACAGTTTGATCAATTTCCCTTTGATCTCGCCTGACTGCAGACGGAGATGCAACGGAGGAGATAATTCCAGCTTCCAGCGGAAAGATTAAAGTCTCATTGGTTTTTCATGCATATTAAAGAGAGCTGACTGACAGTCGGATTAAAACACGACACAAACTGAACAAAAGAGTTAGAAAATATATGGTGAGTGTAGTTTGCTTGTTTTTCTTAAGTGATCGCATCGTCAGGTTTTGTGTCTTTTTAAACTCGTCCATTATTGAACCTCGTCTGACAACATTAAGGAAAGAAGTCTCCTTCTCTCTCTCTCTCTCTCTCTCTGTCTCTCTCTCTCTCTCTCTCTCTCTCTCTCTCTCTCTCTCTCTCTCTCTCTCTCTCTCTCTCTCTCTCTCTCTCTCTCTCTCCCTCTCTCTCTCTCTCTCTCTCTCTCTCTCTCTCTCTCTCTCTCTCTCTCTCTCTCGAAGTACAGAAAGATTTTTTAATGTCACGACTGAATATTTAGCTGATTTCCAGCTGGATGAGATGAGAGATTTCAGAAGGAGACTTCTCAGAGAAAGACACACAATAACAGACAGAAAGGTAAAAATAATATTATATTTCTCTGTCGGGTTCTTTCTATAAGATTAGCAGACACTAACAATAACAATCTGAGCCTGTCAATAACAACAACAAGCTATTTTAGACACAAAAAATATAGGAAAGTTTAAAAAGTTTCCCTTTAAAACACCAACAAGTAAAAGCTGATGTATTGAAGAGTTTGAAAGAGTTCACTTTTAAATTCTGGATCAGTTTTGGATGAATTCGGTGACATAATTCTTCATGACATAATTCATGGTGTTCAGGGCCATCAGCAGACAAACTGGGGCAGCAGTGGATGAGGTAAAGTGGTTATTTAGTAATCTCAGGGTTGATGGTTCAATCCCTGACTGCTCGTGTCAAAGTGTCTTCTCATGTGAACTTATGGACATTCCTGCACAAAAACAACTACACGGCTCTTTCATTTAAAAAAACGACATACTGTACATATAATTATACTATTATTTACAACATTTTTATTGTCTTTATGTTGTTGCTTTATTTGTTTCTTGTCTTACAGTCCATGTTTTTATCTTTTCTTGCAATGTTTAACTTTATACATTAAAACAGCTGAAACTGAAAACCTGTTTAATAGAATAAGAAACTTGATTATTGTGCATTTACATATGCAGTTAAGTTCCATATAAATTAATTTGACCAAACTGAAGCATTGATAACATAAAAATACAATATTGTTACATAATCCCGGACACTCTCGTGTTTCTATGTTGTAGAAATCATTCAAATAGAACCTGGACATTGGAACTCACAGAGAGAATTAATATTCAGTTTCACCGTCAACCAGCAGAAGCAGAAAATGATCCAACTGCCAATTCAGTGTTTTCCAGCCCTCGAAAATCTCTCTCTCTCTTTTCTGTCTCTCTCTCTCTCACTCTCCCCTCTCACTCTCCCCTCTCTCTCTCCCTCCCTCTGTCTCTCTCTCTTCCTCCCTCTCTGTCTCTCTCCCCCTCCCTCTCTCTGTCTCTCCCCCCCCCCTCTCTACTGTAATCCCTTCCACTCTCTCGTTCTAGTTCCACAACACTGAGCAAGAGTGTCAACCTTTCTCTCCGTCACACTGGCAGAGTCAACCTTCCCTTAAATGGTTCTGGATCTCATTAAAAAGTGAAGGTGAGTAATAAATGACAAACTCCTCCACTGAACCCGATGACACACACACACAAACATGGGTTGTGCATAAACGCCGTCCTGCAGAGCTTTTATTTATTTTGTCTCGGTGGCCTTTCATGCTTTTCTCACCCACCCCGGGGGGTGAGGGGGGGTGAGGGGGGTGTCTGGAGGATCGATAACCGTCCCAGCTGTCGAGGGCGCTAAGACCTTTTCTGTCGTTAACGCTCGGTTTATTCCGGTTTGTCAGAGAAACCCATTCCACCTCCACCGGCTGTCCCAACAGGCCTCCACAACACTGCTTTTGGTTCTTCTTTCCGAGATGGGTTTATTATTCCCATTTGTGTGTGTGTGTGTGTGTGTGTGTGTGTGTGGTGGTGGGGGGGGGGGACGTGTCCTAGTTTTTTTGCGGGCATCTAAACCCCTTCTTCATCTGTGGGATTGAGAGAGGGGAGGTTTCAAACGGTTTTTGGATCAGAAACGAGAGGCGCTTTGAAAGGAGGGGGATCTGGAGAACACTGACGTTTCTGTCACGCGGAGGACGTCTTTGGGATTATCGAACTCTTACCTCAAACACAAGAAGAGGACGAAGGCGACGAGCAGCGCCACCATGGAGATGCAGTGGCCCAGGAAGCTTATGATGACGGCTATCTGGTAGTGCATCTTGCCTTTTTTCTGCAGGGAGAGAAAGAAGCATTGGAGTCTTTTGAGGCTTCTTCTGATTTACAGAAACAATATTCTCAGGATAAGATAAAAGACTTCAAAGACTGAAACCCTCTTTGCTCTATCTTTCCTTTTTCCTCTCCACAGACTCCTGCGGTGGTTTAGAAACTTTTAAAATAAACAAATGAGTAAAAGTGTGTGGGACTTTGATTTGAAGCTCTGGTTTTTAATTACCATTACATTAATAACAGCTACACTGTTTATTCAGTGTAATACATACGATTAATATACAGCGTTTATAATTGTACAAAACAATATTCTAATGTGAAGTAATATCAATAAATAGCTGCTATTTGTAACTCCAAATCCCCCACAGCCAGACGGTTAGCATAAAACGGACCCAGGAAACGCAGACCTCGTGTGGTTCACCATGCTTTGTCATCAACATTAATATATATTCATGATTAGATTATTTACAAGAGCACAAGTCTTCAAGCATCTATCTTAAAAACAGAGTAAATATCATTCATTTGAAGAATTTCAGGTCCTTTCTGTGGTTGATTTTTGTCGTTCTTTAGTCATTTTGTATCCATTCATAGTCACTTTTCAGCTTTTTGTGGTTATTTTGTATCTCTGTGAATATTTTTTGTCTCTTTGTGGTTAGTTTCTGTCTCTTTGTAGTCACCTTTTATGTCTTCATGGTCGTTTTGCGTCTCTTAATTCTTACCTTAAGTCTCTTTGTGGTTGTGTTTTGTCTCTTGCTGATTGTTTCGTATCTGTTAGTTTATTTCCCTGATGCTAAATGATAAACAGAGGTTCTGGTCTCGGGCCTCTATCAGGGTCAGTCCCCATCATGATACTAATAAGCCACCTGCCTATCACCTTACCCATCACTCTGGGTGCCAATCAGACCCCCCCTCGGTTTTCAGACATGAATCCTGATCCTGGTGGACGTGAACACTCTCACATATAAACTCACTACGTGAGGCTTTGTGCTGCTGCTGAAGGCTTTACATAAAACTCACACACATCTTCCTCTGAATCGCAGCCTAAGTCTTGTGTCTGACTCACATATCCATTGTGATGGGATTTCCCCCACACTACCGACAGTAATCTATGCTGTAAGTGGATTTATGTAACCTACTGGTGTCTACGCCGAGATTAAACGTGGACATGTTTAATCCCTGAATCTCTCCTGAAAGACGTCATCTCATTCACTTTATTTTGGTGCAGCAGCTCAAATCTTTAATTCCTTTTAAAGTCTACGGTGGACAAATTGCACCAAGTAATTCCCTCCTGATGACGGAATGTACATTGATATCTGTACGATAACCCCCCCCCCCACACACACACACACACACACACACACACACAAACAGAGACTTGGACTGTGCCGGCGTAGCAACTAGTGTGATGAGCAATTTGTATTTACATGTATACTATTTTATCCCACAGGTGCATTATACAGTTTTATCCTATTCTGTTTGGATATTTAACTTATTACTTTTGCTCCACTTTTTTATTACACTCATGAGCCAGATGCGACTTAATTAGATTTTTTCCACATATTATTACTTATTGATAAACCTTTTTCCCCAGTGGCCCTAATATGGGTATATTATAATAATAAATGTATATATGCCTACACATATATTTATTATTATAATATATGTGTATATGTGTGTGTGTGTATATATATATATGTATATTAAAAACTTCGTCCAATACTAATTTTTACTGAATGGAGCTTGAACGTATCGTATAATGCAACCTCCGGCTGCTAACCGCTAGCAGCTAACCGCTAGCAGCTAACAGCTAGCAGCTAGCCGCTAGCAGCTAACCACTGAGGTTAACTAGCTCGCTTCCTGCTGATTTTAAACAAAGTTATGTTGTTGATGATATGATATAACTTGCTATCAGCTCAGTGCACAGCTCATTGTGTGACGCTAATAGAGGCTTCAGCTGTCTCAAGTAGACAAATCATGTGTTTTTTTCATCCTGGGAGTTGCATGTTATTTTTAAAACACTAAATATAACTACTAGCACATTTCCCTCTGCAGCAGTATAATGCATTTTTTCCACCAAACAAGGAATGTAGATTTCCCCCTCCACCTTTTGTATCGGAGACACGCCATAAAAGAATCATTCCAAGGGTAGTGTGACAGGAGGGTTGATTACAATGATTAGTGACCGCGCATTGAACGATTACTCTTTCGATGTATGAGTGCAGCAATAGAGATGTGGAGAAAAAAGTGAATCAGTGCTTTTAACAGACACTGAGAGACTCGGCAGTCCAACACTGGACATAAATCAAGCAAACAGGACGTGTTGGACTGGATAGCGGAGCTCAGAGAGGATAATATAAGAGCCACCCACCACTCGCCTCAGGCCACAAGAGTCAAACACGAACCTGACTCACTCTCCTTCTGTAAGAAACAACAAAGACACTTATCGTTTATTTGAGAACATAACCTCCAGCAAGTCCCATAAGGACAAGAGGATTCTTTTTTCCCCTCAAACAAACTTTCCAATAAGCCTTTGATCCTCACGGTTCCTCTTCCCAGCGGGACCACTGAATGTATCCGGTTCAATACAGGCTGAACTTTTGAAATGGAAGCCACTTCAAACTCCCCCTCCTTTTTTTACCCTGATATCAATCACGCCACCGCTGCCACCTGGTGATTTATATTTCACGGCCATAAAAAGGAAAGAAAATCAAACACTTTTTAAAAGGTCGGACAGTCTATATCCGTCTTCTGCGGGGATCGATGGGGCATTAGACTGCGAGAGACTCCGGGAAAAAACCACAGCTAAATGAAGGGTTTCGTTCCACAACATGCTCACAGATCTGTTATTATTATCTTTATCTTTGTGAGCCCATAAAGTACAAGTCTATAGGAGATCTGGTGACCTCATTGGCAGGTTAACATGCCCTCACGACTAAATCCTTTACTTACATTGTTCTTATTGTTAATGAAACATATGAAAACACCAACATCAACAAAAAAAACGAATACATTTGGTTGAAAACATTTAGATATCCTTCTTACCTATTACAATATATTTCCCATATTCATATCTGAAATCTTTTTTTTAAATATACTTTATTTCAGATTTTTAAAGCAAATTATAAAACACAAAACACTGACAAAAACATAATTTCCTATCAATACAAACCGAATTAAAAAATAAAATAAAAAGATCAACCAGTGCATAGAGACACTAACACAGTATGATATCCTTTGAATAGCCCTTCTGGTGTCAGTGATGTATTTCAGAAAGGTGTTCTCACTCGTTTCTAAGACTACATTTCATCTTTTCAAAAAGAGTACAACTGTTCATTTCCAAAGACCGTGCATCAAGGAGGAGAGAGGATCACATTTCAATATCACAGTTTCCTGCCATCTTGTAATAAGATGTCAGGCGCCCCTAAGGTGGACCATACCGTCCTTCTGCACGCAAGCCAGTGGGGAAGCTAAGCTAGCTGCTATCTAGATTGTTTGATACTAAAGTACTTTATTCTCTTCAGAGATTTAGAATCAGATTGTGTCCACACACTGATGGATTTGATTTATCATGAGTGCAAGAGCGCCTACAGATACATTTCCGTCAATAGTTAATTATTTGTTGGATAGTTAAAATAAATACATGTTTTTTGTTTAGTTAAGAGATAAATGGGACTCTTTAATCCCTACTAGCGTACTTTTAGAAGGTTCGATTCCGTGCCTTAGCCAGTGATAGAAATCATGGGCGGATTGACTCCCCTATGTGACTTTGTCTCTGTATGAAACCCCACATACTGAGAGTTACATACGGAGATCAATACCACTCATGTCTGTGTGTTGAAGAGCAAGAGCCAGATTCAATTAGCTTAGCATAAATACTAGATGCAGGTGGAAACAGCTAGCTGTCGAAAACCACAACTAAAATGACTCTGGTGTGTATTTTCTTCCACTTAGGAGAGAGCCAGGCTGGCTGGTTCCTCCTGCTTCCAGTCTTACATAGAAAAACATCGGCTTCATCCTTCCAATGCAGATGAAGGAGATCGACAGCTTTGTTTTAACAAACGGGCAGAAATAAAACAGAACTTAGCTAATTGAACCAGCGCAGAGTAACAATGTTTACGGAAACTAAAGCGTTTTTAATATTCAGTTGAGTTTCAGCAGATGGTCGGGTCACATCTCTCTTTCATGTATTTCTATATTTCACATTCAATACTTCAAGTGTCCTCTTGTCACGGCCTCATTTAGGTCATCGTGTTCTGTCTGAAAGCTTTGGTCAATCCTAATTAAAACGAGTGCTCATCACCAGCACATCTGCACATCACAAAGCAGCATCCAGGTGGTGGCTGAGAGCATGCAAAAAAACTCCCCAAAAACAACAACAAACAACAACAAAACAGCAGCACGTGACTGGATACGAAGCTGGAGCACAGCAGGACCTTCACAGAGCATCCTGCTGCTCTCATCGCCAGAGGACAGTGCGCTTTACACGAAGACAAACTCTTGTTGTGGCTGCCGCTTCTTTTGAGGAATTAACTAAATTATGTTTTTCTTTTTTGTGCATTCAAAAGAGAAACAGCTGCAGATTGATTAGCAGATTTCAGGCTCCCACTTACACACAACACCAGAGCCCAGATGACAGTAAAGCTGCAGCGGCTGCATTCATTGTGCTGCCGGTGCATTTCACAGCACATTCGTAGTATTTCCTTTTGTCTGTAGTGTCAGTTTAAGGCTTCAGGCTCTGAAGGGAAACAAACCCTGAATCCACATTTACTATAAATAAACTTTGCGAGCAAACCTGTCGCGCTCACCTTCCCCTGCTAACCTCGCTTTTGTTGTTGGTTTTTTGATTATGTTTCACACTTGGCGGGACTCCGTGAAAAGCCTCATTAATCAGGATACATGAAAGTCTTACCTCCTCGTGAAGTATGGCTTTACACATGGAGTAGTTCCCCTTCAGCGCCCACGTCCCGTTCACGAGACAGTCCCTATAAACGTTATCTGCACAGAGAGGAAGACAAGAGACAGGACACAAAAAATGATTTTTCTCATTCTTACTTCACTTTTTAATGAATAGTTCTTGGGTTGTTTTCCGTCTTGTATCCTTGGAAATGTAAACGATGTGATTTCCTGCTCGATCGGTAGTGGCACTGCGACCTTTTCTGCGTTTTGAGACTAATAGGGAGAGATATCATTAGAGGCAGGCCTACAAGCTGTGAGTTCTCACACGTTAGCTGTCAGGACCGTCTGCCGCCCTCTTCCTCAGCATCGTTATCCTTCTTTACATTTAGACGCTTTTTACCTCCAACGAGCCGCCAACCTGTTTTCATTTCATTTATTTTACAATAAAAACATGTTGACCCACGTCACCGTCGCGTCACGCTGTCCACAAAAAGATGTACGATATAAAAGATATAAAAGGGTTCTCAGTAGAAACCTTTGGAATATATAAGCATTCTCTGGAGAACCCCCTGGATTAAGTGGAGATAAGACCCTTGGAATATAAAAGGGTTCTTGGTAGAAACCTTTGGGTGGGTTCTAGATGAAAACCCTTCTTGAAACGGGTTCTCTAAAGAACCTCTCATTGGGGGGTTCTGGTTGAAACCTTTCACATATGGTTCTAGGCATAATCCTTTGAAGTTGTGTTAGGACCCTCTGAAACGGTCCCAGGTGGAACCTTTCTAAAAGGTTCTACCAGGAACCAAAAAGAGTTTTCGAACGGGCACAAGCCAAAGAACCCTATATACGTATGGTTCTAGTGTGTTGGCAAAGTAAGGCAGGTCAGCGAGTAATTGGGGAAGTTTTACGTCAAGCTGTGACACAATTAAAAGGCAAATTTATAAAATTCCAATCTTTATTGCCTCCTTCAGATAAAATAAATAAAAAAAGAAGCGGAGATTATTTTCAGTTCTGCACATTGCTGGATGAAGCAGCCCCAGTATTCGGGGCTCGGCATGAAGACGCTGACAAACGATGAGTCAAACTGGATTTTTTTCCGTGCGGTCTCGCTCCATCACAGCACACATTTCTCACCACATTCACGGGACAGAAACGAAATAATCTGTGACAAATTTCACATTTGTCATTTCACATTTATTATTCCTTAAGATGAAGGAAATGAAACCATCAAACAGGACACGGTTGGGTTTGAAACGCTGCAAATGAGGCAATTTAAAGATGAAAGGAGAGATGTCGGAAATATTTTAAAGATATTCATTTGTTACATCGGCAGCCGTCTGCAGGTGAGGCGGCCGGAGGTTCGGTTCATTTAAATGATCATGACATTAAGTCGGTCCTATATAATAATGGTTGAAACAAACACAAAGGAGAAGGTTGTTTCATCTCCACACAATCAGCAGTGAGAACACGTCTTCTTCACTGAGCTATATGGACACATCTGACCCGGACCTCGAGGCGGGTCGACTCGGGTCGACAGACACTTTTCCACTGACAGTTTATAGAACTGGGAGGAGAAAGTGAAGTTTGCTGAGCGGTCGCTGACACAGTTAAAGCTGCAGCAGTGTTCTCTGCGAGAGGAAAGCTGTCAACATCCATCAATAATACAACATATTAGAGACACAACCCTGTCTACATACACGGCTAACCTGGCTCCAGACTTTTGAAACATAAATGTTTTGAAGCTAAAATGACGTTTGAAGAGTGAACATTGTGTAAAAGTTTAAGATATTTTCTTAATAAGATCTGTGTGATGTCACCCGCTCCAACACGCACTAATGTAAAAACCTGTGACGGTCATGATCACTAAGCTTCCAAGAAGGTTGAATATTTAAAAAAGTTTTTAATGAGATTTTAAACTTGAATCATACTGAAGATGTGGAATATTTTAACATTTGAATGGAGTTTCTAGCTTAAAGTATGAATTAGTGAATACGAGATGAAAATGTGTTGAAATGTCTCACTTCTGAACGTTCTGTCAGTTTCATTTTTTGGCACAATTCTCTCAGAAAACATGGAATATTTCTGGAAACATTAAAGGCTATAAATAATAAACTCAGACCATATTGATAACAGCTTGGGGTCCGTGTTTACTTCCTGTCGGCTGATCTTATTCACAAACAGCTGCAACAGGAAATGAACTGGAACACATCTGGATTGTTTACACTTGAGGACTGTGAAAGGATCTGCAGCCGAGGATGTGCTGGTTGAGTTCAACGTTTTGATGTTTGAATCAACTTTCTACGCTTCCAGCAATCACACCCAACAAACGGAAAAAAGCAATTCCTGCCAACAAAACCTAATAAAGATTTATTACAGTGTCGGCTGAAGCTACAACTTATTGTGCCCACTGTGTATACAATATCTCGTAATATTGTGTTTTTTACAATAATCCCTCTATACTAAAGCCAGCAGCTTATTCTGATGATAAAAATAGAGTGAAAGCAGGTAGAAAGTCTCAAATGTCAGACTCACAACAATAATAAGACTTGTTTACTGATGAACATTTGAACACAAGACGGACATTTTCAAAGCTCTGTTTTAGCTAAAGAGAGAGCGGCTCCATCAGTGTGTCGGTGGCCTGAGACAGGGGCTGTTAATCTTAAATAAATGTTTTAATAATGAGACATTTTGGGCAGGGTAAGAGATGGGATGAGACTGGGTGGCCTGAGGGCAGTGATGTGCAATGAGCTGGGTAAAAATAGCATGTTGACAGTGTAAGGGGACTGTCATCCCCAATCAAGATTACCTAGCTTGTGATATTCCCTAAATCCCAAACGCAATATCCTAGAGAGCTTTAGAATCTCTCTGAGGAGAATTATGTCAAAGTCAAAAGTTCTGCGGTGGAGTGACTGTGTCGCACGCTGGGAAGCCAGAGTCTTGTTCAATATTTTGGGATTCATAAAAAGCTTAAAGAATACATTTTTCAATTTCAGTGCGTAGACGGCAGTTCACTATCAGCAGTTTAAACTGCTTTACTTCTCTTGAGAAAAAAAGAAAAATCTATTTCCTACCATCAGACTTGTGCGTGACTGACTTTAACGTGCACTGGCAAAAAAATCTCACATATTTTTCAGAGCGCTCCCATAATTCTCTCCTTTTATTCCAATCGAAATGTACATGACACGGTGTGACCGGGCGACTCTCCTCTGGGTTTCCATGGTCCCAAATCATTTGAATGGATTACTGTCAAAGCAATAAAAGTAAAACTTTTATTTCGAAGGCACCTATTTACCAAAACCAAAGTGCAGCGCAAATGTTTAAAGAAATCTGTGAAAAAACAACCCGGAACAGGCGTCACGCTGGAGGTCTTCACGCAGAGCCGAGAGCTTAAAGGTGGGAGGGGTGGCGCCTTCAAATCAAGCTGTATGTCCTTGACATAAATTCCTTCTGGCACTGGACCACACGGTGATTTATGGCTGCTCAACCTCTTTATTAAATAAAAAAAAAGCCCACATATATATCAAACATTTTATAGCAAAGACTGACTGTCACTGAAGATATTTCTTCATGTAATAAGCAGATAATCCTCTTTATTGTTGTATTGTTTGCTCTCTGTTTGGCTGAAACGAGGTGAAAGGAGTTTTACAGCCGACGCAAATTAAAGGTGGATTTAAGGCCCGGGCAGCGTTTCAGTGCTCGTTACAGCAGCAGTTAGGAGGCCTGTTGGGATGAGACTCGTCTCCATTTGTTACAGTGCTGCAGAACGAAAACACGCAAGTATGTGGACAACGACTGAAGATTGAAACTGGAGTAATTATTGCAGCATTTTGGTTCTTTTGCTACAATGTGAGAATATAGAGGAGTAACGTCGAAGTCACTCTGGTTCTATCATCGTAACATTGAGGATATTACATCTTGTAAGACGAAGACAAGAAGAAAGAATCTAAATCTGCAAGTTTCTCTTTAAGGAAACAGTTTAAATGAGGAGAGTATTTCCCACGCTGTCGATATATTCCTTTAACCCATGAAAGGGTAAACTCGTTTCTAAAACACAGAATAGTGGATTCTTGTAGTGCCACCTCCACTGAACTATCCACTGACTGTGTTACAATCCCTTTGACAGCAGGATGGAGATACTAAAATACCTTACAAACTCTGCATTTCATAACAACGAGTACAAGTCAAGCGTGTCTCAGTCACTTCTTGTGATATTGTTTTGCTGTCAGAATGCATGAGAGAGTTTTACTGCTGCAGCAAAGTGGATCTAACACAGTGGCAGTGTTATGATTGCTGTCAGTTGCAGCAGAAGGAGAGCCTGTTTATTCTGTCGGTATTTGTGAGAGGCAAATGTTTACCAGCTGTGACGGCGACGGCGGTGTTGTTTTCACCTCGTGAGTCATGAAGGCAACATGTGGTCCAGGAGAGAAGGACTGTAGGAGGAAGCACCACAGAGGAGGACTCTGGTGGGTCTTTATGTCTGTTGACAGATTTATTGACATCGCCACATGCAGCCAAGAAACAGGACTGGAGTCAGTCAGTGGGATCAGAACGAAGGGCTGAGGTTGAAGAGGGGCGTGGTCAGAGCAAAGGAAGTAGGGAGGTAGGAAGTAGGGAAGGGGTCACTGGTCCCACCTCCATTTATGTCCCTTTAGCTGAAAACCGCTTCGCTCTATTAGTCACATTTCTATTAATATCACCGTTACTATTCATGCTTTTATTATCATTATTACTGCTCTCATTAGATGAATAATTTCTGTCATATGCATTGAATGTGTTGTAACTCTGTTATGTTCATTCTGTACACATGACATCTATCACACCTCCATCCTGATAGAGGATCCTCCTCTGTTGCTCTCCCACAGGTCTCTCCCTCTTTCCTCCCCGTTAAAGGGGTTTTTGGGGGAGTTGTTCCTGTTCTGATGTGAGGGTCCCGGGACAGAGGATGTCGTATGTGTACAGATTGTAAGGCCCTCTGAGGCAAATTTGTGACTTGTGATTTTGGGCTATTCAAAATAAATTGAATTGAATTAAACTTGCTTTGTCCAAAGTTTAAAAACCACACAATCAAACACCTCAAAAACTCACAAATTATGAACTCGAAA